CCCCCCCACATCCCCGCCTGCGTTATAGCGTGCATAACTGCGATATATATGTGTCTTACATTGTTTGTATTACACACACATATATATATATGTAATTGGTCCAAATGCAACATATCGTGTAATTTTTATACATTTGTAGGTCAAAGAAGTTTTATAAACGGCAACACTGGATCCTTGCAACGAATATGATTGTATGATACGAATTGTAGAGCAAGCAGAGACATATATATAGAGAGAATAATACAAGTCTTTTTCCATATCACACCCAGTATCAAACCGATACGGGTTTTGGGGTGTGATACGTATACGGCGAGGGCTGATATGGGTTAGAGCAATTGTGTCGTATCGCATATACGAATGAAACGTATTTATTAGTAAGTATGTAATAAATTGTAATACATACGTCTCTATTGTAATACATACGTCTCTTGGGGCAAGGAGGTAGCTCCAACAGTGTAGACAATATGAACTTAAAGTTGTCAAATTTTCGGAGAAATCCGGTCCTTTATCAAGACACGTCTCCTCAAAGGTTAACTTGGAACGCTAGATCGACGTTTTGTATTCCAGCTCACCGGACGTTGTATGACTAGCCTGGCTATAGAATGTTTCGAAAGAAAAATGGGACTTCTTTAATTTCGATCTTTTGGATGTCCGATTCTCAGCGCCAGCAAATAACACAGACCACGAGTGTAAACACGATGCAACTTTAATGTAGAGGCGGAAAAGAGGCTGCATTACATAATAATAGAACCAAAGCCGGATCGCCGAATCCGGAATACTAATAACTGGCGTGATCCTTTTTTTTTTTTTTTCTTAAAGGATTAGTTTCATTGGCATTGAAACAGATTCAAAGTTATACATTCTACGACGACACAGTGCATGGTTACTTAACCATTTCACACAAATAAGAATTTTTCAAAAGTCACATTTGTACAAGTAAAGTAAACTATTTAACTACGAGGTATGCTCTAGTACAAACAAAAGTCAGCACTTGAACAGGTAAGCTAAACTATGTAACTACTAGGTATACTCTAGTACAAACAAAAGTCATCAAAATGTTTTGGGGTTACAGTTTGTCTGTCAGAGCGACGTGTTGGTGGCTCCGCACTAGTGGTACTCGATAGGTCCTCAAGAGGTTGTAAGTCGAGCACCTCTGACATACTGTTTATATGGGGCTTATCGCATTCACTATGGGGTACGCCTGTGATGTCAGGTGGTAGTATGTTCAGGTCTGGGCCTAACGCATGTTGAGCATGGTCAGGGGGGGCATATATGGCACAGGGTATGTCTGGAGGCTCAGGAGGGCCCTCTTGGTGCGAATTCAAGTGTAATTCGTCCTCTGCACATGTGTCCAATGTGAGAGATTCCCATGGTTTTCGTGTAGACGATACAGCACTTTCTGATACTTTATAACAGTCAGTCTTTTTGACGCGATACGAAGCGGACCGGAGTTGTGTACCAGCAAACTTCTGAATGTTGCACCACATCTGGTCAATTCCGGTTACTAAATAACGGTCACGACCGGACGACTTATTTCTATCAGAGTGGAGGTAGACCAGGTCACCAACACAGATGTCTGGGAGTGTAGGTAACCTGCCAGAGGGCATTTTAGACTTTTCACTGGACGGATGGTTGAGGAGTCTGGCGTCATGTTGTTTCGTTATAATGACCTCATCTTGAACTGTGATCTGTTTGTGGGTAAACTGATCTCTTTGTGTCCATACCTCCCGAGCAGATATTCCACTTTTTCTAATACGCGTGTTAAGACGTGCGGTAGCTAGCGTAAGCAACAATGGAGACACTGCGCGACACGTGGGGTCCTGACGAAGAATTTCGTCTTCAAGCTCTTGAATAGCTTTTTCGGCCACAGGGTTTTTGTTGGTGTTTTTTGCGTTGCCAAGTTCTATGGCAATTCTGTGTCCTGACAGCGTGTCATCGTTCACCAGAGCCCGAAAGCCTGGTGCTGGGTCAGTACGGACGACCGCATGTGGACCATCTAAGGGGCGCAGCTCTATCAGAGAACGAATAAGACCTTCACGAAGCGTATCACGGCGCTCGTCCTCTAAAAGCTGGGAGATCGTATAGGATGAGACACATTCACGTACAACAAGAATGATCTGTCGCTCGCGTTTCATAATGTCAGCAGCAAATTGACAGCCTATAATAGAGGGTGGATCGCTGGAGGTTTGGTGGTGAACGACTTTAGGGATTTTTCTGAGAGCCGCGCACTGATGACAACCATCACTCACACGCTTGACGGCGGTGTCCATGTCGAGAGCGTAAAAGTAGCGCTGTGTCAATGCTCTAAGTTGATGACATGTCGGGTGGTCTAATTTGATGTGTAGAGACATCAATAGTCCGTCTATTACATGTCGCGGGACAACAATGCATTCTGATGGGCTGTTGAGTGGAAGGTTTCGTTTCACGATGATGAGTCCATCTCGTGACAATGTAGTGGCATTAAGGTAACGCTTGACATCACGAACATTAGTGACCTTTTTGGAGGGTCGGGTACCCTGCCTAAGGTGGGCANTTTTTTTCCATGAAGGGAATCCCAGCTAGTACATCGGAATCTAGGTTTTCCACAATGAGACCTTCAAAGTAGAGATCCTTACCATCACGAGAAAATATGAGGCGCGTCTCGCCTATAACCTTAAGAGGCGATGAGCCATCAGCCTGACTCGCGGATTGTGTACTTGCTGTGATTTTAGCGCCGAGTTTAGTGGCACACGACAATCGCATCATGTTGCCCGTAGCACCAGTATCAACGGTAAGCCGAACTGAGTGATGGTTGTAGAACACATCAAAGTACGGGGACTGACGTATTACTACCCTGTTGATGAGATCACATTCAGTGTCACTACTACCAGACGGGGTGTGTGTAGTATCAAAGTCCTCTTCAATACAGATGTCGGTCGAACCTGATACTGTGCGAGCTTTGGCCATGAAACGTTTATCTTCTGGGGGGAGGTACACGCACTTACTAAGGAAATGTTCATCGGGTCTCCCTGCTGCCTTACAGAGGGGACATGCCCTTTTCGTCCTGGCGGTGTATTGGGGACGTTTCGGCTTAAATGACTGAACAGATGATCTCATGGCTCTCGCATCCTCTGTGGTTTGTAACTCTTCCAGTAGGGAGTCGAGGGCCTGTGAAATTTCAGGTTTTATTGATGATAGTGTTCGCGAGCGGAGTTCAGTACCATATCGCTGTTTTACGAGCTTAGGCAAGTCTATATGTATAAGTCTGAGCCATGAAAGGACAACAAAGTTCTCAAGGGAAGGTGTAAGCTCCTCATCAGCTTCAATTGCTTCGCCATGATGAGTGATCCCCGAGTCCCGATTTAGCAGGTTGTCCTCTGTAAACGCCATTATTCGTTGAAACAAGTCCTCAGGGCGTTCACTAGCCTCATGTTTTATTGACGCAAAGTCTATGAAGTGGGCCCCTGTTGTTTGGAAACCGAAGTGTAGGCGGATCTGTTGCCAAATTTGATCAAGCGACGTAGAGGTTTTCACGATTGATTGACGCGATATTATTGGGCAGTAATTCGCTATCTGCCCTAACATTAATTCGAGGGTGGCAACTTTTTGTTCACGAGTTTTTCTGTTAGCAAGGGCTACATTTTCGCCGTCATTTGTTAACCCTCTGAATTGGTTCCCTCTCACCCCCTTCTCCCACACTACCCCCTGTACCAGAAACGGGGCAAAATTGGGGTCTAACGAGAGGGTGTATGTCAAATTCTGCCGCCAGTTCTCGAACGAGTTGACGGTTTCCGTTTTACTGAGGCACCACTGCTTCGGTGCACGCTGCATTATGATCGTTTTATACACTTCACAGTAGAAAAGTCACTACGACGTAGTCTTCAATATGATTACTTACACTTTTACAGTGTCAGACGAGAGTTCTCGTATCCCACCGCTGCCACCACGCCAGCAAATAACACAGACCACGAGTGTAAACACGATGCAACTTTAATGTAGAGGCGGAAAAGAGGCTGCATTACATAATAATAGAACCAAAGCCGGATCGCGGAATCCGGAATACTAATAACTGGCGCAGTTTCAACCACGGACTTACATATCAAATCTAATTCCTAGGTTTCAACAGAGACGTATACAACTTAGACTGGCACTCGTCTCTAGAATATTATATAGATATTTAATTATTTAGAAAAAAAGTTAACCCTTACATTTTTTGATCACTTGGATGTCTGATTCTTGAGCTCTAAACTAGGGGTGATAAGCTAGTAGTAATATGCAGTTGCGAAATTCATCATAAAAACTTAGAGGCTGGTAGCCAATCCATAAATTCAAACTAAGGGGAGATAAGCTATTAGAAAAAATGCAGATTGTAAATTGTGTACACAAACTATCTACTGCCCACCAGCAGAGACGTATATATTATATATACGTCTCTGCCACAAGGGATACACAAGAACTGACCACAGCTGTTTGTAAACACGATATCTCCTATAACTGACGTACTTACCGAGCCTCTCCGGAAACTCCACTATTACAGTAACTTGGTGTGGCTAAGATCTAGAAGTTCAGCACAGGAACAGCCACAGATGAGTGACCAGTGTGCTTGTACTACCACCAGACCTTAACCCGAGGCCCTCGTGGTCAGTTGCTCATTATAAAGTTTTACTATTCCAGCGCCCGTTTGTGTACGTCAAGGTCAAGTGATCAGAGAAAATACTGAAGCACTTTTCAAAAAGTAGGGCAATCATGGGAAAGGTAACACTATAGATGATAAGTATTGGCTATATACATTGTAAGGGAACTGTTCTCTATGTCCACACTGTTATGTTATGGTAGTATAGATACATATGTAGAGAAAAATGTTAAAATTAGTTATAGGCTATTTCAGATAAGCTAACCTGTGATGAACAAATATTCACTTTGGCTCGTGGCTGTAATCTGTAGTTTTGTACAGCTTATTTATAGTTCTGATGACTTAAGAGTTGATAAAAGTTAACTTTGATTTAATTAACTTGACGGTAGGCGATTCTGGAATTTTCAATATTTATCCGATGCGTTCCGTAAAAAAACCTACTCAATATACATGTATATAGGAGACATGAGTACAGTACCTGATATTTTAGCGACAGGTATCACTAATTGTAGATATCGATTACCTGTGGTCAGTATTCACAAGATATAGACTATTATACTAATATCCCATTACATAACGTGAAGGACAATGGAAATGTCTGGCTAAGTAACTCTAAGAAAAGTCAGTATGAATAATAATAAATAAATAAATAAATAATCAGTATGTGCCTTCTTTAAAGAGTAATAAAAGCTTCACCAGTGATCTTAGTGTCACAAATTAAAGGTATAGTTATTGAAGTAGCGAATCGCAATTAACGATGATGTAACATTTTTCAGTCAAATTCCATCGAACTAGTAAGTGTAATAAAGTCATATTTGATTTAATTAATATAAACGAGAGAGAGAGAGATTGATTGCTTTCTTATATTGCCAAAGATTTCTAATATTGAGGTTAGGGATAGTTTAGTTCTCTGATTTAGGGATTACATTTTTGACCTGTCACTAAAACTATAACTTCTCCTACAATCACCATTTGTGCCAATAACTCAAAAATAACAAAAACAACTCATCTATAAATTACACCGGGGCGACCACGCTGCGTTACAAAGTTCATCTCAAAACATCTCAAATTCCCACACTGACATCGTTCTTCCAATAAGCAGACCTCGGGAGACTTGACTATCAAACAATAAACAGCCGGTCTGGACCACGGTGCTCTGCACCAAATTGCATGTCCAACCA